CACCCTCTTGGTGAATGGAGGTGTGGCCATCACTCACTCCCACCCACCTTCTGGGCTGGCAGGAATTCCATCCCAGTCTGTATACCCTGACAGACCCTGGGTGTCCTGCCCTGCCCTGCCCAGATTTTCTTTTCTTTATTCTTTTGTAAGTTTGTTTGTTCTTGTCTGTTTTATAATTATTTTATTTTTTTGTCCTTTTTATTACTATTCTTTCCTCTCCCATTTCCAGGTTCTAGTCTTTGTCTTTTTCTCCCTTCCCTTTTCCTGGTTCCCATTTTTTTCTTTCTTATGTTTCTCCCATTCCTTGTCTTTCTTTTTTCATTTTTCACATTTTTTTCTTCATTATTGTCCTACTCTACCTCTTTTCTCTTATTCCCCCCTCCACAGATATTGCAAGTTTTGGGTTTTCCCCCCCTTTTTACTATTCATATTTCTTTTGGCTTTTTAAACTATTTATTTAAATATTTTCTCTCATTTATTGCCTTTCCTCTTTTTTTTTTTTTTTTTCTCATTTGGTGATTGTCCATGTGTGTTTATGCAGTGTGTGCTTTCTGTCCCCTTGCTTTTACTTTTTTGATGCTTTTTTTATTTTTGTTTTTGCCTAACTGACAAAACTGCCCATATGACCCAACCACACCCACACCTTCTGCAGCTCCACTTACTGAGTGAGAGTTACCACTTCCTTCTGCATCAACTGTCCAATGACACATGAACAATAACAGCCTGACTCACCCTTAGCTGCTCTTCACAGTTAACAGAGATCTGTGCAGTCACTCTCATTCTCTATCACACCCACAAGGAGACAGGTGGTGAGTGCATAAGTGCTGCCAACTAATGAATAGAGGAGCACAATACACTGCTTACTCAGATAAATCAAAAAAATTGAAAATCTTGGGTGAATCACTCCAACACACAATCACCAATTAAATATAAATAAAACAAAATCACAATGTCTCAGAGACAACAGACCATCGCAATCCACATAAAGAAGCAGGATAAAGCAGTAAAAACAAGAGAGGAGGATGCAGACCCAGAACACATCCCTGAAGAAGCAGCAGCACTGGAACCCCCTGATAATGAATTAAAAAAGAATTATATTTAGGTACCTTCAACAGATTGAGGGACAGATGAAGGAAAATACTGACAAAATTAAGGAAAACACAGACAAAACCCTAGAACAATTTCAGAAGAAAATACAAGAACAAAATGACTAAATAAATTAAAAATTAGAAATTATACAAAATCTACAGATAGTGTTGTGCCCAGATTATGAAGGAGTTGTTCGGCGCGAGGAATTTGCCAACACACAACAATGCAAAAGCAATAGGAAAGTTTATTAGCTACCTTAAGTTAGGGTCCTTGCTCTCACCAAATCAGTGGCTTGAGCAAAAGACCTCGTGCTCTTACATTAAAACAAATTTATAGAAGAATATGGGGTGGAGTAGATAATTTGGTTTTTAGGACAGGGGTTTGGGAATTTGGGGGCGGGTTGGAATCTCCCGGTTTCAAAGGTGAGTGAGAGATTTTTCG